TGAGTCTAAATATAAAATGTAAAACTATAAAACTTTCAGAAGAAAACATAGCAGAGAATCTTTTAAATCTCAGGGTAGGTAAAAATTTCTCAGAAATGATGTTAAAAAAACACAATCCATAAGAAAAAAAATTGATTAACTGAACTTGATCAAACTTAAAATGTTTGCTCTAAAAAAGACACTGGTGGGAAAGACTAACCAGGGACTGAGAGAAAACACTTGTAAAGCTGTATCTGACAAAGAATCTATATCCAGAGTATAAAAAGAACTCTTAAAGCCATAAGAAAGTAAAAAAAATTCAATTTAAAAATGGGGGAAAGATTTGAAATGACTTTGCCTGAAAAGGCACAGGAAAAGATGCTCAGATGGCTAGCCATTTAGGAAGTGCAAGTTGAATCTCTGATGACATAACATCATAACCCTGTCAGAATGGCTATGATGGAATCAAGACAGACCACAACCACAACAAGGGACAAAATCAAGTGCTAGTGTGGACACAAAACAAGTGGAACTCATATACATCGTTGGGGGAATATAAAATGGCACCGCCACTGTGAATGGAGTTTGGTGGTGGACCCAAGAAAGTACATGCAGTAATGGCACTTTTTGTGTCCCTCTGAGGGAAATAAAAACTGAAGTTCACACACCCTTCAACAGATGAATGGATGAAGAAACTGTGGTATGTTCACACAATGGAATATTATTCAGCATTAAAAGAGATTAAAATTATAGCATTTGCAGGTAAATGGATAAAGTTGGAAAATATCATGCTAGCCAAAGTAAGCCAATCCCAAAAAACCAAAGGCCGAATGTTCTCTCTGATGAGTGGATGCTGATCCATAGTGGGCTTGGGGGTGTGGGGAGTATGGAGGAAGTTTGATTGGGCAAAGGGGAGGGATGGATGGGGAGAGAGTATAGCTGCAGGAAAGATAGTGGAATGAGATGGACATCCTTATCCTAAGTACATGTTGCATGTGTGGTGCGACAGAGAAATGAAAAGTTGTGCTCCATTTGTGTACAATGAATCAAAATGCATTCATTCTGCTGTCATGTATAACTAATTAGGAAAAAAAAAACTTAGGTTCACACAAAACCTTGCACATGGCTGTTTATAGCAGTGCTAATTATAACTTCCCCCAAATGGAACCAACCTGAAGATCCATCAAGAATGGATGAATGAGCTGTGATACATCTATACTACGGAATGCTACTTGGCAATAAAAAGGAACAAATGAATGATAAAAATCAATTTGCAACACACAAATCTAAGAATCTAGAATA